AAAACTTCCATATATTTTGTACTCTATAACGAAATCACCTTCTTAAGTTGACCAGATTTTCACCGCCCTTGCACCAAGTCCCTTTTTTACATGCAAAAGGTATCTCTTTAAAGGACTATTTATAGGTGCTCTAATATTCTGTCGGGATTTCAAAAAAATTTTGAGGTACCTCTTACCTACCTGTTTGAAATTCAAAATTTTATGTTTTCTGAATGTCGACTTCCTTTTGCTTATAGCAGGTGTAAAAAAAAACGCTTGCCAAAAAAACATGATATAACATTCCAAAAAACTAAGGGAAGGCACTTTTAAAATGAAAATAACAGAAAACTTATAGAAGAACATGAAGGAAAAAAATGTATTAAAATAAAATAATGAGGCAGAAGAAACCGCTGTATAACATGCACCATGGTAGAACAGCCTCCCTTATATTATTATACTGTGACTGTTTGTATGGATGCGACAGATTGTATGAATGTCAGTATGAGTAGAAAGAAACGGTATTCCTCCGTAGTTCTGGAGATTTTTACCGCAGTCACCATAAATTTTTAAAGCTACAATGAATGAATTATCTAAATTGACCCCCATATGCTTATAAAATTTAATCTTATCATATCTAACGCAATCCGGTGCGTCATTCCTTAAAATTTAGTAAAAACGTCACTAATATTGCGTTTTCAATACTAATTCTATTTAATTATAATTTTAAAAATCTAAAATCGCGATTGCATTTTCTATCAATGAATTCTCGTAATAATTTTGTAAAAATTTATGATAATTTTTTTTTGAGAATTATATCGTGCTTATATAATTAATTTTTAATAAGATCTCGTTTTGAATCAATTAACCTAATTAAAAACTAATAAATATTTCCTATATGTTATTTATGTACAAATTTTCAAAATGTTTCATTAAACCATCACTATTTTGTTTCCGCAGAAATTTATTAAATTTTTTATTAAATTTATTTAATCTGGTGTATATTGGGTTTATTAACTCAATAAAATAACTATGATTGAATATTTTTAATTAAAATAATTACTTAGTTTTTTTTTTGTCTTTTTTGTTTTTTGCAAGTTATAATGATTTATGAGTTCATAATTATATTTGTTTCTCCCCGTCATATACACACATTAAATAAATGTTCATTATTTTATTAAAATATTATTTTAATGACAGTCAGTCAGCCAGTAAATCAGACTTCCTCTCCCGTCCCGCCCCCTTGCTTTACTTTTCTGTATTGAATATTGCATTGAAATAAAATTATTATTAATAAAGTAGTATGAGATTGTATAGACGCTTTAAATCATAATATAATATTTATAGTGTTTATGTATGTATGTATTTAATTAATATTTTGTTTACATAATTTCATATAAAATATTTTAATATATATAAAATTATTATAACAATAATGAAAATCATAATAATTATTAAATATTTTATCTTATCGTAATTTGATAATAATAACGTTTTTATGCGAATGAAAAATTTTATAGTTTTTTAGTTGGAAAATTATTAAATAAAATCATAAGCATAATTGATAACTATGTATTGTTAGTGGGTTATTATGAATTGATTAGGAATATTTTTATTGATTATTCGAACATTTTATTAGGGGTAATTTCAATCTACCTTAAATGACGCGGCAAACAATACTCTTAAGTTGAGAATTTATACTATATTGTGGCTAATTATTTGCTTATCAAACTTGGTTATCGTATTCTAATTTACCCTATAAATTTATAAAAATTATTAAAATAGAAATATGTAAATTATTATTCCTTGTTATCATATTTCTTCCAAATCAAAAAAGAAATTTTTAAATCGAAAAAAATATTAAAAATTCTCATAATTGAGTACTCAAAAATATTGTAATGTATAAATACCTTTAAGATGGTAAACAGTGTTCCAACTCGGTAAAAACAAAATGTATCCAATTTCGAGAAAAAAATTGTATCCAGTCCCGTAAAATAGAATTATTATACTAAGCCGCCTAATTCGGTACTAATTAACTCATAATTAATATTAATTTACTTTATTCTGCAATATGAGTTTTATTACTCGTATTTATAGTAAATTCTTTATGAGACCACATACAACTTCTATTGCATTTAAATTGAAAAAGTTAAAGTCAGAAAATATATATTCTGTAGCTGCGGTAAAGGCAATTTACCATGAAAATTTTAAAAAATATATGCAGGCAACGCATTTCCTACTACACCTAGCTTACATTAATATGTTTCTAGTAATGTTTTTGTCTAAAAATTCTAGATTTGTACACAAGGAGGGTGGCACCAATTTAATATGGTATCTTTCTTACTTTCTTCTAACAAATTTTGAAATCTATTTATGGAAAAGCCAGCAAATAACATTTTTTTTTAATATAAAGCAATTTCGAGGTTTAATATAACCAGAACTTCGACAGTTTCATAATTTTTATTTGGTGTTTGAGAAAGAAATTTATCCATATTTTAGCAAAATTTTCAATTGTAGCCAATTTCGGCATTTTAGCAGTATTTTGGGAACGCTGCTTACATATTTAATTTTTTTAATTTAAAAATTTAAATCGTGAGAGAGTTTTTTTTGCTCTTCTTATAATATATTTTGTAGTCTCTTTTTACAATCATATTTTTCACTCACAATAATTACTCTATAATAGAACTACTTACTCTATATCGTCTGTTAAAGGGGACTGAATCTTCCGTATCCGTTTGTTTCGAATTTTTCTTTTTAGTATCGGAATAAACTTTCTTCAACTTTTGAATTATTATGACCCAATTAGAAGAAAAAAAAATTCGACATCAAATTTTTAAAGAAAAAAATTTCAAAATTTTTTTTTTTCAAATCGTAATTACATTTGAAAATTTAATTAAATTTATTATTCAATTTTATATGGGAATATTTAATTTTTCTTTAAAATATTTTAATTTTCATTTATAATTGCTGTTAATAATTGTTAATTCTTAAAGGTCTACCCAATCATGCCGTAGATTTTTAAAGAGCTACTTTTACTACAATGGGAAAAGAATTAAGATTGATTCCGGTCCTATATTCCAAAAATATTTTTTCCAATATAACAGGATAATGACTGATATAGAAAGTATGTAATACGAATAAGGAACATCAAGGTATAAAAAAATTATAATTAAATTAAGAAAATTCATAATTATCATACATTTAAAACAAACAGAGAGAACGAACACAAGAATAACCCAATTTCTCCTCTGATGCTTTCAAAATTTTAGAATATTTTGCATATATGCATTTCAATTGAATTTTATACAATTTTTTTTTTGGCAATTTTTTTTTTTTTGTTTATAGGCTCAAAATATTCAAAAAATTTTTAAAAAGTTCCTTTTAAGTATTCCATATATTTTTTTAGGCATAAAGAATGTAAATTTGTTTTGCGTATGTATGTATACATGTGTGCAACGTATGTATATATATGCATAATAGTACGTATAAGTGTTTATAATCATGTGTTGTCAAAAGAAAGAGAAAAGTCTATTAGAAAATAGAAGAAAAAATAAATAAAAAGGAATATAGAAAGGAATGAATGAACTAGAAACGTGTATATTGACGCACATGTTTGTGTATGAGCTTTCGAATATAGCACAAGGAAAAAAAAGAGAAAAACAAGAAGGAGATTTGTTTTTTTTCTCGTTTTTGGAAATTTATCCAACCATATAAAGATAAAACAGAGAGGGTAAATGTGTAAACTAAATTGTTTCAGTTCATTGAATATTTTTCCATTCCTGGTTGGGTAAATTTGTGGCTCACTCATTCTTTATCTAAATTGTGAGTTAGATATTAATTCTTACATGTGTATCTATATATTGAATATTATATAATTGAATATATTTTATCCATATAGTATTTCGAATTTAGATAATATTATTTTAATATAAGGTGTTTTTTGGAATTAATTTAATTTTTGATAATACGCTGTAGTGTAATAAGAAATAATGTAAAAATTTTTATAATTAGAAAAATTTTTTAGGTAAAGTCTAGAACTGATTCCATCGAGATCTATCGTGATTTGTAAGAACCGAATTTTCAGTTCCGAATCATTCGTTCAAAGTAATATTAAATTTTCTTTGAACTCTTATATATTTTGTAAATATTTCCTACTCCTATATAGTTTTTTCGTATATAGACCCACAATAGTTATACAATTATTGAGGCTACTTAAAAAAAATTGTAATTATAGTCTGCACTGGAGTGAGTAAAATTTTTAATAAAATGAAATTACACCGTTTACTTTCTAAATACACTTAAAATACTGAAAGTGATTTGTAGTAAGTTGTTTTGAAAACATTAAGCGTGACTCTTAAATTTTCAGTTATTATTTCCAATTGCAAAAAAAGATATTCTATACCGTTATAAACCGTTTTTAAGCTGAAGAGGTTAGACGGCAGAGAATTTTCTATGCGAGTGTGAGGTTGTTGTCTGTCTAAGGCTAAAGTGCTTCAGGCGGGCTTTTGTGATTTCTTCACGGCTGCAGATAAAAGTAATATCTAACAATAGTAGATATAAGTCTAGTATAACAAACGATTTTACGGCTCAATGTGAGTAGGACAAAGACTTCGGCCCCCAACCTGCGAGATTTCCGAATAATCTTTCGAATTCGGGAATTGACTTTGATTGCCAAAAGAATGTTGTTATTGCATATAGAAATGCCAATAAGAATGTCTGTTCTGGCGCATACTTAATTGCTAGTTTTGAATTATTCATCAGCTAAGAAATGACCCTGTATATTGTCTTATATTACATACGATTAAGTGCTTTATCCAAATCTTTAAAAATAATATTGTTAGGCTTTTGTTTTTTCTTGGAAAAAAAAAATTTTTTTTTTCTCTTATTTTTTTTTTCGTATTTTATTTGGTTTCTTTATTTCTTTTTTTTCTTCTTGTTCTTGTCGAATTTTTCGACAAATTTTCCCCGTTTTATCATTTTGTAAATATCTTCATAATTTTTGTTTTTTAAATTTTTTTTTCAAGAACTTTACACACAACAAGAATAAAAAACCAAATATAAAAATATAAAAGAAAAAAAAAAACAAAACCATTACAAAAAAAATATAAAATAATCGAAAATCGTGTTACGCAAAAACAAACAGAATAAAAATAAAAAGACAAAAAAAAATAATAAACATATAACGGGCATCAAAAAAAAAAAAACATTTAAAAAACAGAAAAAACCGTAACAAGGACGCAAGAAAAAATATCATATATAAAAGATTAACAAGAATAAGAACAGAAAAGAAGTGCAAAACAAAAAAAAAAAAATAAAAAACCAAAAACGGAAACACACATATAATTTTTTTTTTTATAACAGTAAATTTTAAACTATAAAGAGGATAATATTATGTTGGATATGTTGAAATTGAAATCCTTGGAATGTTTAGCTGATAAATTATCAAGATCTGATATTATTACACAACAAACAACACCATCATCACCAATATTATTACCGTTATCGTCATCAACATCACCAACATCATCAGCAGTAACAGCAACAGTATTGCCATCACCATCAACAGACGTCTCAGAATTAACATCATCATCTGGAATAACATTAACAACAAAGACGGCAACAATTTCTGGTGTTGGTGGTGGTAATAATACAAAAACGGCAGCACTATTTGTTAAAAAACATAAAATTTATCAACAAAATTGTAATTTTAATTCAATTGTAGCAGCTAAAGTGGCAGCAACTGCAGCAGCAGCAGCAGCAGGTGTAACAGGAACACCACATTCAAAAATCTTATATTCACGTTTACATCAAAATCATTATCATCGTTTAAATTCCTATCCATATTCACATTTAACATATCATCCGTATCAGAGGAGAGAAATAACAAGTTGTTCTGTAACACAATTACCGCATTTAGTTAATACGATACGGTAAGTTGAAAGTTTTCTGTTCTTCTTAAATTTTTTATCTTTTATATAACTTACATATTCATTCTCATTTTCCTTTTCATTTTTATTTTCTTTGAATTGAAAAAAAAAACAAACAAAATTTAGATGTTAAAGTTGTTTTTACAGTTAGAAAACAAAAAAACATAAAAAACTAATTTTTTTTTTAATTTTTATACATTTTTTACAATATTGCATATCTATAGGCGCACATATATAAATATTATCTTTACTTTGATGATGCTCCAATGGTTTCCTATATATAGGGCATTTTATGGACTATACTTAAAATATTTTTATATAACGAGTATAGTTACGTGTGTACCATAAATTATAAAGAAATTGAAACTTTGAAAATTATATCAATTTAAAATGAATAAAAACATGAGATCCTTTAATATGTATATGTACATAAATATGAGATGGAGTGACCATTAAATTTAAACGAAAAAAAATTTGATAATATGAAAACAAAATTTTCTTATATTGTCCATCTCATGTAATGTAAACTATGAATTATTTCGGGGGTTCTAGTGAGCTTGCATGCACGGCTAACTTTAGTTGTTCCCATAGGGAATATAAGACCTACACAAAACAAACCTTATTAGGGGTCATTCATTTTATTTCTACCCATGTCATTGACTGGTGTATATTTTTTTGTCATTCTGTTTTACTTTCCTTGGCAGTACAGGAATTGTGCAAAACTTCCGCATTGACTACCGTACCTATCTACTGTATACATTGTTATGCCCTGTAGAAGGCCGAATCAGAAAATGTAAGATGTATAAAAAACGGCAAATAATTAAAGATTTTATTACAAAAAATTTGAATTCTGTATATAATGTACAATCTGTATATAATCTAAAAATTGTATGTATATATGGTCACTTTATTATAAATTAAATTTAATATTAATGGAATACATACTACCCTTTTAATATTTAGATACGTATTTAATGGAATAAACCTACACATATATCAAAAGCGTTATATATATGTTTTTATATAATATATGAGTGTTATACATGCCTTTATACTCATATGAGCATGCATAATATGAAAGTTATGTTATAGTAGGTACTTGATATAATATTATATTTTCTTATTATAAGAATATATGTTATAATAAATACACATATTATATATGTATATACATTAGAAATATGAGAGAATGTTGGCCCCTTTATAAAATTAAATCATTATATAAATTTTTAAATTTTCTAATGTTATACTTATTATACATAAATATTATATAATAGCAATATTATATTATAGTTTATAATATCATTAAAATTAATAAAATAACAAAAGGATGGGGTGTTAATGTTTCTCTTTGATGTAATTTATAAGATTGATTAAATATAATGTACTAAACATATAGATATACACATATATTATTTATATAATAATATATTATGTAAAGAATTAATTACTTATGTGTTTATTTTTATGATTTGCTTTAACAAAGTAATTTATTATTATTTTATACGTAAATAGTTTATATAATATAAATAATATGTGAAATAATGATGAATATGAGAATAATATTATATATTATTATAATTTGTAAGTATGTATACAGTATGTACATATATATGTATAGGCATTTTTCATATTTGTTTATTATATTCAATTGTGATTATCTTTTCATCCATATTAATTCCTAATTCTTTTATATTATTTTATTTGAATGTTATAGTATTGTTAAATGATAGTATTAAATTTGTTTTATATGTATGTAAAGAAATTATAGGTATAACATTACATAATTTTCTGATTTTATTTTGGGATATTAAAATTTACTATTAAAATTTTTTTTATTTAATTGGTTTGTATAAAAATTATGGAATGTTATTAATAAAATATTTTCAAAGAAAAATAGAAATTGTAGTTTTTAAAAAATTATTGAAAAAATTTTTATGAATTTTGGTTTTTGCACAGGAATGTATATAAGAATGTTAGAAAAAATAGTATGGGGATTATTTCAGTATAATACTACGGTTCCAGGATAATACGGTCTACCTATTAGTGAGGCTTCAGTTTATTGAAAAAATAAGTTTTCAATAAACTGAAACCTCAAGGAAATAAATAATAATTTTTCCGTTTCACTTGTATTTAGTATTTTGTGAGTTCTATATTGAACTTTTTCGATTCTTACAGTTTATTATTCTAATATTTGGCCAATTACATAATTAGTAAAAAAACGTTACTTTCCTATTTTCAATTTTTAAATATGAATTGCAGAATTAGAATTTTTTTTTAAAAAACTATTCACAATAGTAATTTGATTACCAGGTTATAGGTAATCAATAGTGTACTCCATATGCCTGCAGTGCTTCGACATAATCTCGGTGAGAATTCTCAAGAAACCCTATATTTTTTTCAAATCGCTTCCGGTCATAATCTTGTAGACGCTCCTTGGCCTGTCACATAACCAGAAAATTTTTCAAATTCTCTGACCGTCTTCTCTCAGATTCCTTTCTTAGTTACAAACGAATAGTAAACCACATGATTCCGTGAAAGGTTCCGGGACAAGGACTTATACTTGCAAATACGTCAATTGTTAGACTTGCAAACATGTCAGCAGCCACATTTCCGTCTACGCCTTAATATCCTGGCACCCAGCACAGATTGACTTTGCAGCGGCTACATAATTCATTAGTCTTCTGAAGACCACAGCTCCGTACTGCAGCGGAGGTTGCTAAAAACAAATTAAGCACTCCGATTTTCTTCAGCCCCCGGCTTCTATTTTCAAGCTGAATCGTATGCACAAATAAATGGCATGCACCTGGGTCTCAGATACGGTCGAAAACGTTCTCATAGGTTTGAAGAATTTGGTTCTTGGCCCAAACATTCTCGCATCCATTTTCATAGTTTTCTTTCACCCGTTAGTGTACCATCTGATGATGTGTGACCTCGCAGGGAAAGCAGCTTGATTAAATTGTTTTCGAAGAGAAAACTCCGATATTCTCTTTTCAATATGCCCACACACACGAATTGTATTCAGGTACTTCAACTTCCAGTTAATCACATCATTCATTTTTTTGTTAAGAAATTTTTTCAATTGATTTTAAATCCTTTAAATTTATAAGGTGATAATTTTATTTTATTGTAAATTAATATTTATACCATAAATATAAAAATAGCTTTTAAAAAATTGAATTTTTTTTTTTTCCAAAAAAAAAAAATTTTTATATAAAAATAAAGAAAAAATTTTCTTATCAATTTTTATAAAAATAATTCTCATATGAGTCAAGGTGTTTCTGTAATCATAACTTAACATATTGTCTGTACATTTTACAATTTATATAAATAGAATTTACGGATAACAGCGACCATAATAAATTATAAAGGTCTACAATATTTTAGTATACTGCGTCATATGGTCATGCCATGCTATGATAGGATCGTAAGTTTAAATTTTATGTTGTTTCTTGTACTAGACATGTGTAAGTTTTAAAATAAAAAAATTCTATAAATTTTACAAAAAAAAAATTTTTTTTTGTACATTTTTAAAATTTTTTTAACCAGACTTTTTATTTTATGTATACATGTATGTAGTTGAATTGGTATAGGGTTTGTATGTATTGTTTACGTGGTATTAATAATTTTTTGTTATATGCAACGTGAAATCAGGTTTATGTTATGATTTCTTGGAACTAAACACATTGTAATTATGGTTATTTACGTTTTGTTGAATGAAGTATTTACTCGTGATTTATCACAATGCTTTCTGTTTGAAACTTTTAAATGAAGTACAGTTACAGAAAATATTCCATTCGTTAGACTGGTTGAGAAAAATTTAGTTATAGCCGGATTTCTTATTATTTCGTCATTATTTATATCTTCGTCTTCGTCATTCGAAATATCGCACGAATACCGCACGAATACCGCACGAATACCATACGAAGTAATATACTATTTACTCTGCACGTATTATGAAGTTAGAATTTCACACTCCAAATTTGAATTTGTATTTTACCTCCTCCCATCTTAGATGTCATAAATTAGAAATGAGATTGACAATCAGATGATAAAGAAAGTATTTGAAAATTTTTTTTTCATTTGTTTTCCGCTTGTATTTTGTAGAGAGTGGAATATTTTCGTAAATATTGTTGCCGTTTTTTGAAAATTTTTAAGAGAGAGGCACTGTAGAGAGCATCGAATTTTTGACAGCAAATATCTTTCGCCAATTCTTTCTAAATCAAAGTGTATGAGCGGCATATTACGTGATTCATAAAAATTACTGAAATAGCTGTAATCATTTGTTGTCAAAATTTCACCATTCTTTTTAGATAATATTCTGGTTTTTGGTAATTTTTTTCTCACAATTGGTCGACTATAAATTCTTTTTCGTTTATAATATTGGTTGTTCGTATTCCTTTTTGTGTTCCGTAAACAATAATTTTTTATCCCATAAAGTAGGAATTAGTATATATAGAAATAAAATAAACACAAAAAAAAACCAAACACAAAAAACAACCTTAAAAAAAACCTGAGCTTATTGTTACATTGGTACAGCGGATAAAAAAAAAACCATGTAAAAATCAAGAACTAAAAAAAAATTTTCTACTTTGGACAGCCTGATGTAGATTGATGCTTTTGTTTTTTTTTTATGGTTTTCTGTTCTATTTTTCAGGTGTTTTAAAATAGAGTACCACAATTTTATATTATACATACGTACATACATATATATGTACATAAAATATAATGAAAGTAATTTATATTTTGCTCCTGTGAATTCTTATAGACAATATGCTGTTAGTTTTTTATAAATAGAACCTGGTTTTTTTTCAACTTACAACAAATAACAACAAAGAGAGAGTGAAAGAGAGAGTGAAAGAGAGAGAGAGAGAGTAAAAATACACCATAGTTATATCATGTTGGGGTTTTATCCTATTGTAAATTGGTGATATACAATTTAATATTTCTATATATATAAGGATTAAGCAGATATTTCGGGTTTTTTTTTACTAATATTTCTA